TCGTTTAACTTTAACCCCTGAGAACCTGAGATCCTACCCCCTCCCCCCCTGATTTTTGTTGGGTTTCTCGTTGTTCAGTCTTTTAGTTTTTAGTAGCTTTTTGTAGACTGTTGTTTAGGAAAATAAGAAGATGTTGTATGATTGCCAATGAGACAACTCTCCAATAGAGAACAAATGACGTAGAAGTTAGCAACTATAGGATTGTCCTTTTTAGAGTGTGTGTGTGTGTTTTTTTGCCATAATTTTGCCGATCTCTCCTTCACTAATGTTTTTTTTTCCTCATGTTGGTATCCGCCGACTCTTTTTTCAATTGTTCAATTGTTCCACGAGATTGTGTTGAATATAATGCTTTTGATTTAAATCTGTACTATCAGCAGCCATTGAATGAACTCGTGACATATTTCAATTCATTTCATTATTATTAAAGCGGCACTAGGTACGATTTAGACAAAAATTGGTAAAAAATCTTCTACATTGTTCAGATCCATCCTTGTCTTGTAAAAGTATTTTCAGTTATTATAACTCATGAAAATGTCTACTATGCAGATATTAACCCGTCTGAGGCCTAACTTTAAAAAATTAACGATTTCGCAAGTGGTTTTCCGATATAAGCGACAATTTTCTTAAAATAAGTGAACATGAGATCATTTTGATGATGCATATACTGGTTTAATTCATTGTATGCTAATTAATATATCAACTACACATTTCCGTTTTTGGAACTGATAACACTGCTGTGCTTGTTTTAAATTAACGTGTTTACAATCATTACTGATCATCCATTTTTTGTTCTGGTAAGTCCTTTTAGTATTAATTTGATTTTTTTTCTTAAGGTCCTATACGAAAAGATCAATCTTATCATTTTATTTTTTGCAAGAGCTTACTGTAGAAAGGGATTTATACCAAGTTTCTTTTTCAAGTGGAGAATGAAGAGCCAGTATAATAAATTTAAAATCATCACACGTGCAACTACCGTGAGTTATTCTCAGTAACTTTTTGATATTGCGATGATCGATATAATAAAAGGTTAGGAGGTGATTATTCACTGTTATAATCATTGAAATAGAAAATTTATTTAGTAAATTGTTGCGATGAAACAGTCAATAATTATTAGCAATTGTTTAATCGATCCCGATAACAGTTTACTACGTATTGCAAATACAGGAATTAGCAGGTCACAAGTTGTCTTTGTTTATATCTTACATTTTATTTTGTATTTATGAATTCTAATTTTAAAGGAGGATTTATTGAACGTATATTTGGTTTGAAAAAAACTGAAAATGTAACCTTGACAAATGAAAAGTTTGCCCAACAAAGTGCAAGAAATATTTATGTAGAAAAAGAGTAAAATAAGTTTTCGTGTGTCAAAGCCGCGCAAAAAAAAAATTAATCGAGACTCGCAAAAGGTGAAAATCAATATTCCGTCGATAAAAAAATATCTTGCCCTCTAAATCGGAGCACTCAATGAGTTCTATAAATGTAAAAGGGTAAGAGCGTTAGCCTCTTACAATGTACCTACACACGAGCTTATTCCCCTAAGTCGAACGTTTTTGAATAAGGTGAAGTAAAATTGGCCAGTAGTCGGCACTTCTGTGTTGACATGAATTATCATTCATATGTTCATAATTATAAAGCAATTTATTTGTGTACAAAACTTTGAATTTTTCGAAATAGTAAGGATTTTGTACTCCAGGAATAGAATACATTAGCTGTATTTGGCAAAACCTTTTGAAATTTTGTGTCCTCAATGCTCTTCTACTTCGTACTTTATCTGGCCAATATTTTTTTTTTATTTGAGCGTCAATGATGACATTTGTGTAGACGAAATGTGCGTCTGGCGTCAACAATTAAAAGCATGGTATCCATGATGAGTTTATTCAATATTGGTACCTTTTATGTTTTAGTCAGTAAAAGTGTGGAAAATGGTTTATAATATAATGATCAGTTTTACAATATAAAATTTGTGCATGTCTTAATATAATAAGAATTATTTGAGAAATACATGTTTTTATCCCTTTTGTATTAAACTTGATATTTATACTTTGAACTTAATATCAATACTTATAGCCGACTATACGGTATGGGTTTTTCTCATGAAGGCCGTACGATTGTCTATAATTGCTTACATTTGTAACAGTAAATTTGGTCCGGTAGTAAAATTTGTCCGCCAGACTTTTTTTCCTAGTGAATCAAGTCCATGACCAGTATTTTACTAGGAATTTAAGTCCCAGGACAAATTTTCCTAGGGAAAGAAGTCCATAGCTAGTAAAATATGTCTGCCACTTATTTTCCTAGGAAAAATTGTCCTAAGACTTGTTTTTCTAGTAATTTTTATTATATTTTAAAAATTATTGAAAATAAAAAAAAACAACATATTTTCTTAATTAAGATTGGAAAGTTTCAATAATTTTTCCTATTAAAATAAAGGACATGGCTGGACATTATAACGTTATAAGCATGTTAATGACATGGACATGATATCCTAGGAAAATTAGTCTGGGGACATAATTTTTTTTATTAAAATATTAATACACAACTCTCAAACAATATTAAAACATAACATTTAAATTTAACTTTCAAAATAAAGGGAATGGACGTTTTCACCTAGGAATATTAATGACATGGACATGATTTCCTAGGAAAATTAGTCTCGGGACATAAATTTTATTAAAATATTTAAAATACACAACTCTAAAACAATATTAAAACATACCATTTAAATTTAACTTTCAAAATAAAGAAAATGGACGTTTTTACCTAGGAATATTAATGACATGGACATGATTTCCTAGGAAAATTAGTCTGGGGACATGAATTTTATTAAAATATTAATGCACAACCCTTAAACAATATGAAAACATAAAAATTGAATTTCCATTGTTTACATGTAAATAATTTGTTTCATTAAAATTTTCCTTTTAAAATAAATAGCATGGACGTTTTTACCTAGGAATATTAATGACATGGACATGATTTCCTAGGAAAATTAGTCTGGGGACATGAATTTTATTAAAAATATAAATAGAGAACTCTTAAACAATATTAAAACTTAATATTTAAATTTCCAATATTGTTTAAATGTAAATGATTTGATTCATTAATATTTTTCCTATAAAAAAAAGGACATGAACGTTTTTACCTTGGAATATTAATGACATGGACTTGAATTCCTAGGAAAATTAGTCTGGGGACATAAATTACTAACATCGGACTAAAAATACTAGTAAATTCTGGACAAATTTATCTCTTACATATCCACTTTATTTGAACTTTGGTGGATAGTTATCTCATTGGCAAACATACCACATCTCCTTGTTTTTATACAAGTCAGTAATATAAGGTACATGCAGTTAATCAGAAAATGCATGTATAAATTTAATTAAGACAGTTCATTTTAGGAAACTTGATGGCCTATAGTGTACAGCGGATTTTTGACAAAATTAATCACAAAAGAGATAGTTCTTGATATATGACGTTTGTTACCATATACCTTGTCTTTTCGTTATAAGTTTACGAAAAGAAAAAACTTACATTTTCTTACGTATAATAGTATTCTAATTATATCTAAAGTACAATGTATATGATATGGTTTCGTTTTGTGTTTTTCCCCCAAATCCTTGCGGTCACAGGTTATACACTCTATAAAAATTATGCAAACAAAGGAATCAAATTGATTTTTTCCTACATATGAATGATGATAACTGAATTTACTGGTTTTATTTCATCCCTACACATGACTCTCAACATTTTTTAACAATAATGCTTAGACATGTCTGTTGTTTTAAAGCAGAAATAGTTTTTTGGGGTAATTATCAGAATTTGGTTTCAGTTTATTTTATACAATTAATGTTGATTTCATCCGTTATGTGAATCTGGGTATAGTGTGTGTTCGTTCGTACATTCACCATCGACCATATCATAAGTCACGCGATGGAAGTCACTAGTGAAACAGAAACTGCTAACCCTTCTTGCCCATTAGCCTGGTTTATATGATGAGTTACTTTTCAACCAAAGGGTCGATGCCATTGCTGGTGGAGGTTTACACCCAGAGGATATCACCAGCCCAGTAGTCAGTACTTCTGTGTTGACGTGAAATATAATTGATATGGTCATAATTATAATTTAACTGTTTACCACCGTTGACTTTTTCAATCCCAGGAACAGATTACCTTAGCTGTATTTGGCAAAACCTTTCGGAATGTTGGGTCTTCAACTTCGTACTTTATTTGGCTTAATGAACTTTTTTTTATTCGAGCGTCACTGATGAGTATTTTGTAGAAGAAAAAAATAATCTTACTATCTATGATGAGTTAATTGACTTCATGGCTGCTTTTGGTTTTGTTCTTCTAGTTATCTCTGTTCAATTTTAGGCGTTATTCTTCTTGAATGTTGTTTGGTTTTTTTCTTTATTTTGTTTATGGGGTGATCATGGTGTTATCGTTCATTCCTCGACCTGTGAAAATTCCTTGTCCCATTAATTCTCATAATTTTTTTTTTTTACATCTAACTTACGTTATTGTTTCATGTTTATGTAATTCGGTGGTCCGATTTTGAGTTAAACGTTTGGTGTGAATTGTTCTTCATTTTCTCCGACGTGCTTTTCTGGATGAACCTTCGTTAGGAATGCTCATTCAAAGGAATGTATATATTCCTAAATACCTTAATACTTAGTTTTTGACCAAAAATGATATAAAAAATAACAAAATTCATCTAAGATCAAGTTCACCTGAACATTGAAAAGAAGTCTTTCATAATTGATATCAATACAGTCTACTACAGACTACTTAGCTGATGATACTCTTCGGAGAGTAACAGTCAATCAGTAGCAGTATTGACCAAGTGTTAGATAAATAAATTAAAAAAACTAAGCCTTTCTTGCGGCCAAGGCGCCTTTCAAGATTTATTATTATTATCATTAACCAGTCAAAGTTGTTAACCTATGTTAAAAAGAAGTTTATTTAGTGCATGTATGCGTATTTAAATAAATGTCCTACATAATGATAATGTTATTTCAGACAAAAACACAATTCATTCAGGGAAGATCTAAACGATGGCATCAGAAATATATGATATTGAATTAATGGAAAATGAATTGGCCAAATTATATACTTATACACAGACAATACAAGTTGGAGAAGAGAATTTGAAGACCGATGATGCCATTAAGAATGCAGAATCCCATATCAATGGCTATATTCAGAATGCTTTAAATGATCACAGTTTAAGCAGCGAAGCTCACCCCAACATACAAATCCCTTTCTATGATGCAGGTTTAAATATCGAGAAAAATGATTGTTACCACACACGTATATACACGATCAGTTTTAATATTCTCTCTGTTAAGTTTTGGAACGATAAAGTTAGGAAGAAACTGGTTGATTTATATTTCGGAGCCCTTCTACAAAATGTTATCTCAGCGAAACTGGTGTCTGAAAAAGTTGTCGAATCACTGAAAGCATTTAAACGTGACCCTACTTCACACGATGCTCTTACTCAGGATGTAGAGCCCGGATGTTCCAATATTCCAGGCGATAACTGCTGGGAGAAGTTTTTGAATTATTGGCTAGTTGTTCCACGGGTGCAGTGGGATTTTTTTCGATCTTCTTTACCAGATGTATACGTTCGATATTTTCCACCAAGGTTTTATACCAAAATATGTACATTTTTTCACTATATCAACGAATGTTATGCTTTCGATGATGTTCTTGGCTCAGTTCAATATTCCATCCTTAGGGGAACTCCGATATTGAAATGCATTTTCTGTTAACTTTGAACTCGTTTTATTTTTTGTCCTAGGCTTGGCGTACATAATCATGGGAATCCTTCGGAAGAGCTGGGCGTGGGGTCTTGCAACGTTTCTGGTTCTGAGAGTTTTAAACATGACGGGAAATCTATGGTATTACAGTTATCGTACCAAAGGCAACTCATGGTACAACCCAACCAATCTGTATACGCATCCGTTAATTTGGAGCTACGCAATGTCTGTAATACAGGCTTCGTCGCATATGATTGTTCCGCAAATGGCACCTAACATAACAGGTAAACATTGTTATTTATCTCATATAAAATAATATTTAATCCAACAAGGATAGCTGTTACGGTATTTATGTTCAGTCTAATCTGACTTTGATAAGGATAGCTGTTACGATACTTATGCTCAGTCTAATCTGACTTTAATCAGGGTAGCTGTTACGGTATTTATGTTCAGTCTTATCTGACTTTGATAAGGATAGCTGTTACGGTATGTATATTCAGTCTAATCTGACTTTGATAAGGCAAGCTGTTACGGTATTTATGTTCAGTCTAATCTGATTTTGATAAGGATAGCTGTTACGGTATTTATGTTCAGTCTAATCTGACTTTGTTAAGGCAAACTGTTACGATACTTATGTTCAGTCTAATCTGACTTTGATAAGGATAGCTGTTACGGTATTTATGTTCAGTCTAATCTGACTTTCTTCAGGATAGCTGTTACGGTATTTATGTTTAGTCCAATCTGACTTTAATCAGGATAGCTGTTACGGTATTTATGTTCAGTCTAATCTGACTTTGATAAGAATAGCTGTTTCGGTATTTATGTTCAGTCTAATCTAACTTTGATAAGTATAGCTGTTACGGTATTTATGTTCAGTCTAATCAGACTTTAATCAGGATAGCTGTTACGATATTTATGTTTAGTCTAATCTGACTTTCATCAGAATAGATGTTACGGTATTTATGTTCAGTCTAATCTGACTTTGTTAAGGCAAGCTGTTACGATACTTATGTTCAGTCTAATCTGACTTTAATAAGGCAAGCTGTTACGGTATTGATGTTCAGTCTAATCTGAGTTTGATCAGGATAGCTATTACGGTATTTATTGTTCAGTCTAATCTGAATTTGATCAGGATAGCTGTTACGGTATAGATGTTCAGTCTAATCTGACTTTGATCAGGATAGCTGTTACGATATTTATGTTCAGTCTAATCTGACTTTGATAAGGATAGCTGTTACGGTATTTATGTTCAGTCTTATCTGACTTTGATCAGGATAGCTGTTACGGTATTTATGTTCAGTCTAATCTGACTTTGATAAGGATAGCTGTTACAGTATTTATGTTCAGTCTTATCTGACTTTGATAAGGATAGCTGTTTCAGTATTTATGTTCAGTCTAATCTGACTTTGATAAGAATAGCTGTTTCGGTATTTATATTTAATCTAATCTGACTTTGATAAGGATAGCTGTTACGGTATTGATGTTCAGTCTAATCTGACTTTAATCAGGATAGCTGTTACGGTATTTATGTTCAGTCTTATCGGACTTTGATAAGGATAGCTGTTTCGGTATTTATGTTCAGTCTTTTCTGACTTTGATAAGGATAGCTGTTACGGTATGTATGTTCAGTCTTATCTGACTTTGATAAGTATAGCTGTTACGGTATTTATGTTCAGTCTAATCTGACTTGGATAAGGATAGATGTTCCGGTATTTATGTTCAGTCTAATCTGACTCTGATAAGGATAGCTGTTACGGTATTGATGTTCAGTCTAATCTGAGTTTGATTAGGATAGCTGTTACGGTATTTATGTTCAGTCTAATCTGACTTTGATAAGGATAGCTGATACGGTATTTATGATCAGTCGAATCTAAGTTTGATCAGGATAGCTGTTACGGTATTGATGTTCAGTCTAATCTGAGTTTGATCAGGATAGCTATTACGGTATTTATGTTCAGTCTAATCTGAATTTGATCAGGATAGCTGTTACGGTATAGATGTTCAGTCTAATCTGACTTTGATAAGGATAGCTGATACGGTATTTATGATCAGTCGAATCTAAGTTTGATCAGGATAGCTGTTACGGTATTTATGTTCAGTCTAATCTGAGTTTGATCAGGATAGCTGTTACGGTATATATGTTCAGTCTAATTTGACTTTGATCCGTTATCAGCAGCTGAAAAACACAATCAAAAACACAAAATGTAATCAATTGAAATCATAACATTTGTATTAATTATAATCATATTGTGTCATACGAAACGAAAAATGATATTTGATATTTTGTTTGAGAGGACGAAAATTATTGTTGTAAACTCGACTTATGTTCCTTTTTTTTTTAATAAATCTCCTTTTCTAAAATAAAAACAAAATGGAAATATCTTTCGCAAAAACTTACAATCGGCTTAACAAAAAGTAAAATAACAAAAATACCGAATTCCAAGGAAAATTCAAAACGGAAAGTCCTTTATCAAATGGCAAAATCAAAAGCTCAAACACATCAAATGAATGGAAAACAACTGCCATATTCCTGACTTGGTACAGGCATTTCCTTATTTAGAAAATGGTGAATAATACCTGGTTTTAACATTTTGTGTGAAGAAAATTTATATATACATTAAACTGTTAAATTATAGAAATGAACAAGTTAAATACTAAGTTGAGACACAGACATAGTATCGGTCAACCAATTCGTGATAGTGACCGTAAAACTTATGTAATGTTGATTTCAGTTGTTCTTCCTTATATCTCTTTTGGAGAACTTTTTGTGTACGGATAACATTCCTGCAAATGAAGTACTGTGGATTCATTTATTTTCGTAGGTATCAATTTTCGTGGATTGAGGAAAATTTGCATGTTCGTGGATATTTGATTTCATGGTTTTGCCAATCTGTGCATACAAAGCCTACAGAAAATTTGTAATTCGTTGAACATTTGAATTCGTGGTTTACATGTACCCATGAAACCCACGAAAATTGGTATTCAACAAATAATAATGAATCCACAGTATGTATAGTGTGAAGATGCACGAGCGTAACGTATCAATAGGGATATATAAACGCCAAACGATGAGGAAGAGGGTATGTTACTGCTGAAAAATGGGAAGGTGACGTTTGGAAAGTTGAAATCATTACGTTTGTTTTAGGTTTTAGTTTGAAATCATCAGTCTGTGTTAATAATGAGGAAAAGATCAAGATATGAAGCCGACCTTTAGAAAGATGTTTAATCTAATATGACAACCCGTCTATGTTGACTTTGCGGTATGGGTTTTGCTCATTGTTAAAGACCGTACGGTGACCTATAGTTGTTAATTTCTGTGTCATTTGGGCTCTTGTGGAGGGAGAGTTGTCTCATATACCACATCCTCTTATTTTTATATGTATCATTCCTTGTACGGATTGGAGTAAAGTTCAGGTTTCCTGTATAAAGGCGGGAGATTTTCAACGTCCTGTTTGATGCTAATATCCAACAAGAGAAGGGCGGACTTTTTTGTATTAAAATCTCCTTTATTCATGAATGATGTGGAGATATATGTGAGATTCACAGCTTTGCTTTGAATTCCAAGTTCTTAAGTTAAACATTCCAAATAATGATTTGTACATATTAAAACAAATTTGTTAGAGACTTTGTCTGCTAGAACAACAACATGTTGTCGTGGAGAGACGATAAAGCATCCACAACCTAGGGTCTCTTGCAAGGTTTAGATACCCGTGTGCTCATTGTGCGTCGTAAATTTTGAATGCGCTAATGAAAACATGACAAAACGAAGACCGGTAAAGACAGCATTTCACATGTAAAAAAAATTCGACAAGATCTTTTGGATTAAAAAAAATCATCTTATGTGTCTTGATAGGAAAACGTGAAGTCGTGTTAAGATATCGTATCCAATAATTACCTTGATGCAGACTTTTCATATTTGTCGACAGTCGCTTTGTAAGTAGTTGGGTATTTATTATCAATACTTGTAAACCATAACTTACAAATACTAAAAGAGATAGACATAACAGATCTTAGATGATGGCAAAAAAGAGAAAATGTTAACATTGATAAAAGACTGAAGAATACTTTATAATTTATTGTTAAATCTTTTAAGTTCGCTTGAGGGCATACAATACAGCTACAGCGAAGGTAATAACGTCGCTACGTAAAACTTTATTCTTCGCGACGTCGCAATGTGACGTAGTACATGGACCCCTGTTTTTTTAAATGAAATTTGGCTTTATTATGTTTGAAGATTAATTTTACCAATTTTCTATTAAAAAATCACAGATAATTTTTTTTAAATTAGATAGATATACAGCAAATAAATCCTGTTTTTTTCTAAAATTAAGAAACAATAATAAATATGAATTATTTCGAAAATACTTATGTTAAGATATTCTAAATGTTTTTACAAACACCGCTTGATTTGAAACCAAACAAAAATTAGGTTTTTCTGCTCAAGATAATTATAAAAAGTCAAAAATTCCGAAATTTTCAGTAATTATTTAAAATTTCGACCTCGTTTATCTCAAAAAGTAGCATATAAAGGAATATATTTATAACATATTATAACTGATCAGGTAAAAAATAGCTTGTATGCAAATTCTTGTGAAAGATCACTGTGTAATCAAAACTGTATCGTATGCCCTTAAGTTATCAATTGAAAGTTTTTGTTGAATATGATTCCATTTCTTTTTTTTTTTTATTTGGTTATTTCTGTCTCGACGCAATGTGTTCAATTTAAAATTGAGAAAATGTAATTAAAGGTCGAAAAACAAAGATGAACAACAAACATCGACGTTTAAAAATTCAAGACTTCTCCAAAAAAATATATGATATTTTGCTCACCTTTTTTTTAATTTTCTTTAGGAGTTCAACACTGGGAATCCTTGCATATGTTTTTCATGATGAAAAGGAAAGAGACAGCATCAACAATTAAACATATATGCTTTGTTATCCTGTCTTTGCTATTATTTTCAATTTTATCAGTCGCTGTTGCCTGGTTTTCATGGCCACATTTAATTGGAACGGAGGTGAGTTCATTTTCCTTGCTTTTCTTTACTGTTATTTACTGTTATACAATGGTGGTAAAACAAAGAAGTTACAAAAATGGCAAAGGGATAATAATTAATCCGTATATTAGACTTTAAAAGTCTATAATAGTATTATAAATTTCAGTAAAGACTTTTGAATATTTCCCAGACTAATAACAGGAAGAATCTAAACGTTCAATAAAGTTGATATTCGTTGATCTTTAGATTGGGAAAAAAGGAATGAGTGTTTGAATATAATCAATACCCCTTTTATGTGTTTCATTTTCTTTTAATTTGAATATTTTGTGTCTCCCGTATAGTTTGATATTATAATACAAAACACTAGCATGGTACATTTGTTTTGACATATCTTAAATGTCTGATATTTGTTCTCTTAGGTTATCTATATTATGGCAAGCATAGGATACAGACCGAAATTTTTTGAGAAATATTTCAGAATTGTGGAAAAGGTTGAACTGCATGGAAACCCTATAATAGACACTTTCCCTACAGATCACAAAGACATAAAAATGACTTTACCTGCGCATGTGGAAGCAATGAAGGAAAATGGGATAATATCCGAAAACGCTTCTGACTGTGAGGTTTTTGCAAGTATTGCAACATTAAAGTTGGCATCCATGTATCTTAGGCGAGGAGTGAAGAAATCAAATGTAAAAAAGAGGAAAACGCAGAAAAATGCTGTCAATGAGATGCCTGTGACTGCTCAAGTTAATGACGAATGCAAACATTTGGATGTTTTGCTAGCCGCAAGAAAAGGCTTTATTGGGAAATGCAATAAAAGTAAATAGATCTAGAATCATTGAAGAGTATAGTTTAGCACTTCGATGACAGTTTTTGTGTGAATTGTCACGATATGTCTCAGTGCCTCGCAGACATGCGTATTAAATTTTATTATTCACTGCTTGTCATGTTTTGAATTAATAATTCTAAATTTTAAGCCAATGAAAAGTATTAAGTGTTTGTCCGCTTTGGTCAATTTTAAACCTAACGTGAAATACATTGATTGAATTTATTTAATCTGATAAACTTTATGATTACTATGATCCTTGTTTATGGTAAAGGTAATTGTATTTTTATGGTTTAGAATATCTGTAAATGATACTCGGTGTATGTACATACTAACAGAAGATTAACTTTACTATTTGGATGCAATTGGGAATGGGGTAACTAAATGTTTATGATCTGTTTATAACTTTCAATTTTTGTTGGAATGCTGCGACTTGCATTTTGTGTTAAAGATTTGTATAACCTGTCTACGATAGTAAGGGTGGCGCGTATAATGTTCTCTTGTGTATGCTTCCATCCGCCTAATACCAGAGGCCAATTACAGTGAAGGGGGGGGGGGGGGGGGGGGGCAAGACCCACTCTAAATGTTGACTTGATGCACCTCCCCCTCCCATCCATTTTTAAAATCATGGATCCGCATCTGGATATCTATCCGTCTGTTCGTCCGTCCCGTGTCCGGTTTAGGTTTTGTTTTTGGTCATGGTAATTTTCCAAGAAAATGAGATTACATCACTTGAAACTTAGTATTCATGTTTATTTTGATGTAATCTTTGTAAATGTTATGCCAAATAATAGATTAGATCCCGATTTCAGGATTTCTTATCCTAGAAATATGATAGTTTTGAACCAGTACATTATCAGGTTAAAGTTTTTAATGAAGGTAGTTTACCATCATCTTGAAACTTAGTACACTTGTTCACTATGGTATGAACTATTTACATAATATTCCAAATTACGATTTTGACACATATATCAAGGTTCACCGAACACGGAAATTTGACATCGTGACACTATCCTTTTGACACATATCCCTGTTTTATAAGTTTTAGTTAAACTAGTTTATTTCGAATCATTATATATTATAAAGTTATTGTTTGCTTTTCTGTTTACAATCTAATAACATGCGTAATTTTTTAACTAATGTGTTTGATATTGTTTTATTGATATAACAAGGGTGTTTTTGAGATAGTCAAGACGTTTCAGATAATTGTTGTCGTGACTTCATACTGGACATATATATATTTAATATTCTTGAATAGTCCCATTACAACACCATCATTTCTAACCAGATTATTTGGCTTATATGTTTAATTATAGTCTTTATACATTGCATAGAAATGAACAAATAACATGTGTGTCATTCTTCCGCGTAATGAAGGTTTGTAAGTGTTGTGAACGTATTTTGGTAGATGATCGTTGTCCTGTTATTAAGACAAACCGTGATGTTTTGAAAAAGACTCTTTTAGTGTAAAGCTATAGATTAAGATTGAAGAAATCACTTTGGTCTTCATTAGTATTTAGTATTGTTCAAGCCAGAGAATATTTGAGTTACTAAATATGCATATGATTGCTCAAGCCAAAAAATATTTGATTTACTAAAAATGCATATTGTTGATAAAAGTGGTCAAATTCATTACGAGCTTTCATGTCCTAGTTGTCACTTCTTGAATGTGTAATTCAAGAATAATCCGTAATTAAGTGTGTCTATTGTTGATCGACTATTGTAAATATTGTAGGATGAATTATATGAATTGACTTACATTAAGCCTGCGTGTAATTTTGAGTAACTTTAAGTTTCTTGTTGACATTGCTGTTCCGCGATTTTATTGGTTTAGTGGGAAATAGGCATTGTTTGACGTAATGCGTCATTTGGAAAACAAACTCGGTAAGCAAAATGTGTCTTCCAAATTGATCGGATGTTTTCAGATCGCAAAGCTTTTTTTCTGAATTGGGGATCCATTTCGATTGAATATTCGATTAGCAAAATACTTTTTGAGTACGTATGTGTATACTATTTACAGAGTTTCACTAAATATCTTGTCAAAGAACGGTGAAATCCGTAACTTATATTTTCCGGAGTCTGGGTCAATAATATTTAAAATTAGGGGGTTTTCAATTTATATTTGGCAACCTATTGATATGTTATTGATATTTATAACTATGTCAGTGTTTTATGTTAAAATTGACACGCAGGTTATTTGGTTATTTAAATGTTATATGCTAAAATTAGGATTGATTGTAATTCTATGTTTGTATGAAAGTCTAAAGAAATAATAAAGATCTAGAATTTGCATAATTTTCTTGTCTCTTTTTTTGGATTGTTTTTGCCAAACCGCTCGCTAAACGAATAAATACAAAATATAACTTAGAAAAGTAAGCACTAAAAAAACTTCAAACCAGTAAAAACTGCTGTTTTCTGTATGGATTGTGCCGAAATTTTCACCTGTAAGGCTCAAGATCCTCCGCAGGGACTTCATTGGAGCAATATTCTTGCACCATCCACCCAATTGTTGCAAACTATATCATCACTGATTCCATCATCTATATCTCTGATGACTTGACACATGATCATCATGGTTTCCAACATTTTGTGGGCCTTTCTATCCAAAAGCTCCATGAAGAATGCATTGGCACTTTGCAAAAGGTCATACAGTTCTCAGAAGGAGCCCCAACACAATACAAGAACAAAATAGGCTTTACACATTGTTCCTTTTCCAATGAGGACTTTGGTATAGCTACAGAGAAACACTTCTTCGGCTCACGACATGGTAAGGGCCCGTGTGACCGTAAAATTTGTGTTTTTAAAAAAACTGCAAAAGCAGCAGGAAGTAAATGCATCCTGTCCCCTAGAGAATTTTTCTATTACTGTAACAGTAAACCAATCCTGCCCAGAAGGTCAGAGGAACACGCACATACACAAAGGAGGCTTGTTTTTGTTGAAAAGAAAGATGTAAAAAGAAACTTTCCAGAAAGAACAGATGTAAAGTCTAGAACCAGCTAGAACCAGATGAACAATCAGTACCAGATGAAGGTCATCCAGTACCAGATGAACAACCAGTACCAGATAAAGGTCAGCAAGTACCAGATGAAGGTCAGCCAGTACCAGCAGAAGAACAACCAGTACCAGATGAAGTTCAGCCAGTACCAGATGTACAACCAGTACCAGATGAAGGTCATCCAGTACCAAATGAACAACCAGTACCAGATGAACAACCAGTACCAGATAAAGGTCAGCAAGTACCAGGTGAAAGACAGCCAGTACCAGATGAAGAACAACTAATATCAGTAGAAGAACTAGTACCAGATGAAGTTCAGCCAGTACCAGATAAACAACCAGTACCAAATGAAGGTCAGCCAGAACCAGATAAATGTCAGCCAGTACCAGATAAAGGTCAGAAAGTACCAGATGAAGGTCAGCCAGTACCAGATGAAGAACAACCAATACCAGTACCAGATGAAGGTCAGCCAGTACAAGATGAAAAACCAGTACCAGATGAAGGTCAGCAATACCAGATGATGTTCAGCCAGTACCAGATGATGGTCAACAAAGACAATATGAAGGTCAGCCAGTACCACATGAAGAACCGTCGGTACCAAATGAAAGTCAACCGGAGCCAGATGAAGGTCAGTAGCAATTTATGAATCAAAATATTGTTGTATTTTTTATCCTGTCCCCTTTGATAGCAAAACGGTGAGGGGGGTATATAGTACTCAGCATGTCAGTTCGTTCGTATCTGAAAAATATATTCGTAAAAGAGTTATTGATGTTGATAAAAATAAATGCTTTATTTGGCCTGAAGCTAGAATGAAGGCCTCACGGTGACTTTTAGATGAAGAACAATGAAGCCATTGTTGCCCTGCTATTATACTATGCTTTACTCTAATTTGTTAGGGACTTTGTCTCATGCTTATTTACCCCTCGTCCTTCCATTTTGTTGTTGTACCATGTCTGTAATTTAAAGATTTGTCCCGCATCAACTTTCTAATTTCCCATTCGGCCACATTATTTCTAATTAGTTTAATACTTTACTGGAGTTATTTGTCATGATTAGATTTATCACAGGACTCGTTGGAAAAGTACAAAACAATCTTTGTTCAAATTTATTCTTTTCAGATAAAGCCGTTACTGATCCATTTCACCTAGAAAATTTGGTTTTTCCTACTACAGGACTATGGGAGACAGATATGTTTCTACAAGGTGAAGTTTTAGTGTTACATATATATTGCTTCATTTAGAATTTATTAGAAATGTTCAATATTTGATCCATAAGATGTGCATGTTTACAAATTGTATCATCACTGAGACAGAAGGCAAAATACGGAATGCCTTAATAATAACCTAATGTATACAGAAAAAAAAGAACAAAAAGTGTACAGCCACACCATCTCCTATAAAAAAAATATGGTATGCACTCTTTATCTTAAAAAAACATAATTTCATCATGGTAGATTCTAAAGTCCAAATCAATTTCTCCAGTATCCTTACAGTGTCAGGGATATGACATTAAGAGGATGTTTTCAAAAGGTAGTAAACATTTAACTAGAATAATAGTTGTATGTCATATATTATTTACAGATGGCGAGTTAATGTATACTGATGACTGTTTAAGCCCAGTGTCAACCTCATATTCTTGAACTACTTCCAGAAAGTCCTAAGAAGAAACCCGAACCAAGGTGACTGTGTTTTTCATACTTGATGCATATTTTCAATTGTATGCAATATTCCAAATTAAAAAAGTAGAGTCAATTGAGAAGAGTGTGTTTTGTCATTTTAACAATTACATTAATGCTCTAACTTTCATTTCTCTTGATATATTACAATTATTGACTGATAATTTAAGGTTCAAAGTTGGAGACTATGTAACTGTTTCTCTACCCATGGGAAAAAAGAAGAAATGTTTTGTAGCAGAGGTATTATTGTTCTGTTGATGAAAATGTTTCGTTTCTATTCTCATTATCTCACCTAGTCATAACCATTATGGCCTTTTGCAATCACTATGTATCCATCCGTCGTTATAAATTTTTCATTTAAAGATCTTCTCCTCGGAAACAACTGGGTCAATTGGAACCAATAGTCCTTGGATGGTTCCTTTACAAAATTTTGTCTGGTAGGTCCAGGTCGGATCGACGATAGTCATCATTATGGGAACATAGTTTAAAGTTGGATCTTGAGGTAAATGCATTCAAAGATCTTACTCCTCAAAACTATTGGACCAATTAGAACCAAACTTGATCAAGACCGTACTTGGATGATCTCCTTTTAAAATTTGGACAAGCAGGACTGTGTCCAATTTAAAAATGCCAACAGCAGGTAACATACTACATGTACTAGAGCACATTGGTCTTTTGGGTGGTCTATGAGCGATGGTCCAGATGAGCGATACAGGCTCTTGAGAGCTTCTTGTTTAAATACTGTTTGTTTTGACTAATTTGTATACTTTAGTTATAATTTACAGCAGAGGTAAACTGTTTTATTCAATTGTTCTGTTGGGTTTTATTAATATCCTTTATTTCTTTTGTTGTTTCTGTTCTCATTATCTCACCTAGTCATAACCATTATGGACTTTTGCAATCAGTATGTATCCATCCGTCGTTATAAATTTTTCAAAGATCTTCTCCTCGGAAACAATTATAACAATAAATAAATTTTTCTGAGTTACCATATTTTTTCTTATAAAAGATTTTTGCAGTGTATTTTAGCTTTTACTGTTTATTTAGATGTTAAAACATTATGAATCAAATTTTTAAAAAAATACAGATGTTCATGTTCATCAATATAAATATATATTCATATATATGCCACTCATTAACTGCAAAGTTCAGTTTATAATTAGTGGATTATCATTGTGATTTTTACACATGATATTACCAATATGTTACATGTTTTTAATGGTAATCATTTTTTTCTTAGATTGTGAAGGTGTATGAAGAGATTGAGGAATTGTGCCTGAAATACATGAAAGAATGTTCTGGTGGACTCTATCAGTGGCCTAAAAAGACTGACTACAGCTGGGAGAGTTTTTCAACCATTCTTAAATCGTTGCCAAAACCAGCGCTCTCGGAAAAAGGCACCAACATAAGACAGTTATATAAATTCATGGAATAAAAACTAATTCGTCATGCATTGTAATATTGGATGCTTTAAGTGATATCTAATAGAAATAAAGATACTCCTTATAGAACAATGAAAACATTTTTCAACTTGTCCATGCTTGTAATTGTCAGAAATATTTTGCACTTTTTAGGATTAAAGAGCATAGTTATTATTATGATTATAGAGCTCTTCTTTCTTCAAAATGTTGTGTCGCGTCCATCTATTGCAGCATCCATACATACAGATTACTATACGTCATCTTGCGTCCGTCTCTATGATGTCTACATTTAAGCATTATCCACTAGTTCTCCTAAATGGCTTAGTACTTTCCAACCAAATGTGCATGAACTCTTTGAACATTTATATGTTGCAGATCTGCACCATGCATTTTATTTTTCTCTATTTTTTTAATCATTCCAGATTTTTCTCACTGTCTTAGACTTTGCCCTTTCATCTTAATGGAATCTAAGGAGGGTTTTGTATTTTCATTAGCTCCTAAACTACTTGGTACTTTTCAACATAACTTGCGGGAACTCCTCAATGGAAACCTTTAAAAAGTCACTTTTGGTACACAATTCAATGTTGTCGTGTCCTTGTTATGAACCCCATAATGTCTGTAATCATGGTTTTATTTACATAAAGTTTATTGTCCAGTCTTTAATCTGATATATGGTATTGTTTGACTCAATAACTTCACCTATAAAGTGACTGAAATATTTGCTCATTCACACACGGATTGTAATGATTGATCCGAGATCAAAATTTCTGTTCATAACGGTGTAATTTTGGAAACAATTACTTTGGATATTGGGCTAAATAAATAGCCCATAATATTGGTGTTTAAATGACTTTTATTTTCCGGTTTTTCTGTAACATAGTGTGACCCATGATCAGATTCGTGCACCTTTTTGTTTGATATTTGGATCAGATATAATGCATATAGACCCATCGTATTAAGATCGTTGCGATCATTTTATTTATAGTACTACACACTATCTAGCAATTCTTTTCCTAATTTAAGTTGACAGTTTGAGAATTAAGTTATTAAACTTGCGTTTGTAATTACTTCGGATAACGGTTAATTTGATTGTGTATGTTATTTTTCATCACCCAACAGATACAAACTTGACAGAACGTCATGCAGGTAGAATATTTGGTGTAGTAAAACTTTGGTTAACTCAAAATCTGTGCAATAAAAACATAAACCTTTTCTAACTCAATGTATATGTAATATGGCTTTTTTTAATCAATAAGCAATAAAACCTTGTTTAACTCAATTCCTATATCAGTTGATGTGTTGTTATGTTTATGATTTTTCTGTTTCTGAATAAGCATTTTGATATGCACGCATCATCCGTCAAACAATCCCAGACTCGTTTCCTTCAATAGGTATCACAACCAGGAATAGGTCAAAACAGATCAAATGTCAGATTAACACTAGTAAAAGCCAGATCGCAAAGCCTTTTTCTGAATTGGGGATACATTATGATTGAATATTCTTTTAGCAAAATCCTGTTTGAGAAGGGTGTTTGTGTATTTTATTTATTGAGGTCCAGTTAATATTTTGTCATAAAACGGTGAAATGCGTCACTGATATTTTCCGGAGTCTTGGTCAATAATATTTAAAACTAAGGGGTGTCCAGTTTATATTTGGAAACCTATTGATATTCCATTGATATTTTTAACTATTTCAGTGTTTTATATCAAAATTGACACGCAGGTTATTTGATTATTTAAAATGTTATATGCTAAAATTAGGATTGATTGTAATTCTATGTTTGTATGAAAGACTAAAGAAATAATAATGATCTAGAATTTGCAGAACTTTCTTGCCTCTTTATTTGAATAGTCTTTGCCAAACCGCTCGCAAAGCGAATAAATTCAAAATATAACTTAGAAGAAAAGTACGCATAGACTAAAAAAAACTTCCATTGGAGTATAATAACTAGTATATATTTGAGATTTATGTATTGCAAACTGTTTAAGTTGAAAGAAGCATAACGAACAAAAACTCAATGGACCAGAACATTCTATCCACATGCACGTCTACATATATGGATCTAACAAGGTATAAAGTTTCATGTAGATGCGATAAATCATGTACGAGGAGTTTGGTTCTGAACAGGCTAAAAATGTCTAAGGTGAAAGAGGCATGATTCTGGATAAACTAAGCAGAATAAAAATTCGAAGAAAGATAGAGAAGGACACAGAAACGATAAACTCATCATAGATACCAGCTACTACTAGTATTTTAACAAAACAATTTTAAGATTTAAAGTTATATTGAATTGTTCATGACTTTGGATATTCCTATATTTTGACCTCGAGCGTCACTGAAGAGACGTTAATTGTTAAAATTTGCCTCTGGTGCATTAACATTGGTACCGTTTATCAACCCTCATTAAATAACTCAAAATGTGGTGACTATGTTGAACGCATCTAACCCATCGAACTTGAGATAAAGGATACAACACATACAGTTAAATAGGCATCATATATTGACTTACATCAAGAAATTGACAATGATGGTCGGTTGAAAACAAAACTTTACGACAAAAATGATGATTTCAGCTCCCCAATTGTGAACTTTCCATTTCTATGTAGCAACATTCCAGCAGCGCCTGCATACGGAGTATATATCTCCCAGTTGATACGATATTCCAGGGCTTGTATTTCCTATCATGATTTCCTTGATAGAGGGTTGCTGCTCACAAGGAAGCTATTAAAACAAGAGTTCCAAGTAGTGAAGTTGAAATCGTCCCTTCGTAAATTTTACGGACGCCATCACGAATTATGTAAAGTAATGTGTTTTTGCTTTCTATTTATCTAGCAAAATTGTATCTTATATACATTTTGTATTTCATAACTTCCCAAACAGGTTGTTACCTTCGTTTTCGGTACACCCACACTAATAAGCTGTGATTTCTGATTAAATTTCATCTTTAGGAAATATTTAATTTTGCTATATGATTTATCATAAGTTTCAAAATCTGCAGCAACTAATTCTGCCTCTTTAAATGTCAAATGAAAGTAAGGTATTGTAACTCTACTACGGCATGAAATAACGAAAGAACTTTTCACATGGTATATTTATCTAAAATGATATTAACATACGGTTATTGACGACTCATAATTATCAGTGTTTATAAAGTGCGAATCCTGAAACACCATTTTTACTGTATCTGTCATGTATTTCTGATGTAGAATGATAAATAAACAGACGAAAAGTTGATGATTTTTTGAATAAATAAGAAATAATATATCAAATGTATTGTATTAATAAATTCATGATACAGGTACAAAAATGGAAGAGATGCAGACGGGTTTATATCGCGTCTACAGCCGCCCAGGTGGGAAATCAATACACAAATAAGTAAATATTGAGAATATTTCACGAGCAGAGCGTGCAGGAGATTTAAAAACAGCAGTAAAGTTTTATTGTCAGAAAAGTATACCTTTTAACATAATTATTAATGTTGTATAACTTAAAACAGGTTTTGTCATTCAGCTTGTTGATATTGAGTTAAATTCCACTATGCTGCTTCGTTATTCGATTCATGTCTTTTTACTATTTGGTCTCTTTTGGGAGAGTTGTCTCATTGGCAATCATACCACATCTTCTTATTTTTGTATTTACTGTCGAATAATGATACACTACTTTCGTTTTCACTGTAGGAACGATTCATTTCTATTGTATATGCGGTGCATTTTCACAGTAAGAATATTATTCATTTTTCATCAAATATATTCTTAATTCAGGCGACTTGCTCACAAACTAAATAAGGTCAGAAGGATTTGATAATGCTTACTTTGTGAGTGAAAGTCTAACGCAAAAATAGCATTTATTGCTAAAATATTTTTTATAATAATTCGTCCAGATATATATGAAGGGTAAAATTTATTCATTCAAAGGACATTTTATCATCGAATATATACACCTTGGACAGTTCAGAGCATCCACCGCCACCAAAACCTCTGCTTAGGTTGTTGGTAAATATATCTAGGTTACTATACATCACATACTAATGAAACGTCATTAATGGATGCACCTTGGATAATAAAAAGCGTTCACACAGCAACCTACATTATACTCTAGAGTGACTGGTTATGTTTTCAGTTTGGGTTTATATCATCACGTATCGATGAACTTCATCAGTGCATATATCTGGGGCATATAAAAAGCTTTCACACGTGAATAACTTTGGATAATTTTTATGTCACATGCATCTTCAACAGTGCATTCATCTTACACAGATAATTTAATTTTGAAAAGGAATGTAGGGGCTCTGTGGGATTCTGACGTTACCGACGTTATATCTGCTACAGTGCAATTTTGGAAAACCCTATTTTCCTGATACTAAAAACAAATAACTTTTCCTCCACACCAACCCATTAAAAATCATTTATAGCGAAAACCAATATTCTACAGAGTACACGTCTACTATAGTTTTACGACAAAAGAGCACATGAAGTCCGATTTTGATGATCCATTGTTACGTTTGTATTGTTAACGTTCTGAATTTATTTACGGTCGTATTCTAACAAATACGTCGCACTGTGCCTGAGGGAGATATGAAGATTTGTTCACCAAAAAGATTCATATTTCACGAGGGCTGTGCCCGAGGGAAATATGATTTTTGATAGTGGACAAATCTTCATATCTCCCGGAGCCAAGGGAAATGAATGTTTTATTCCACTGCCTTTGCTTTGTTTACTCCCTGAACATAAAATATTAATTTAATAACATACATGTTTTTTTCTTATCCGCTTGTTTTTATAACTAAACACGACATAAACATTGATAAACAGTACGGATCACAGGTTAATTATTTAGTCTTTTTATTTTAACGTCTGAAATAAATTTGAACACGATAATGAATCGCTAAAAAAACGTTCAAAACGTTATGTACATGAACCGTGCGTAACGTCGCACGGTGAAGTCCCGATCTTCAGAGGGAAATATGTTCAGAGGGGAATATGGAGTTTTGTTCAATGACACGTGGGATAGTCTCAACCAATCAAATATTGATTAAGCTATCAATATGTACATACAGTGGAATAATAAGTATTGTATACCCTAATTCGTTTAAGATAGGTATTAAATCAAAATAATGGTGTTAAGCAGCAAACAAATGCATTCATTTTAGATGTATTGAAAAATCTAGGCGTTTGTGGAAA